TCCAAGCTCACAGGAAAATTCACGGAGTGATCGGCTTGTGCCACTGCCCGCTTTCCCATGATCTTGGAGCTACGTACGACAAGTTCTTGACCATCTGTGCCTCGTATCCTTCGGCACAGGTGAAGCGGTGCTTTGGATTCCATGCCAGTGATAATCAGGTGTGTGCTTCGCCTTGGCTTTTCTTTTTGTTTCTATCGTTGTTGCTCTAACGACCATTTTTTCTGGTTACTTTGCAGCTAAAACAAGAAGACAAGAGCAAGAATTCGGATTTTATACTCTTCCCTTCTGCGGATTACGAGACTCTGGAGCTGCATATCAAGGCCTTGATGCAAGCGTTTGCAGCAGCGATGCTGATGGACTTTGAGAGGCGAGTTCTCTTAGGCGATCCGGTTGCAAGCTCCTTGACCACACCACTGGACTTGCCGGCGTCCACAGGGAGTGAAGAGGTAACTTAACGAGATTTTTTCATGTTACGTTTGTGAAAGTTTTTTGTATAAGCAGGTTAGCAAAGCTAAAAAGAAGAGACTCGGCCGCCTTCAAAAGGCGATTGGAGATTATTGTCTTCTTTCTGGGTCGCATTTGAACGCAAGCGCACATTACCTATCTGCAACTGAGGTTTTAAAATCTACTGGAGATGTATTCTGGCACGCGGGAGCAGCAGAAGGCAGCATAAGCGCTATTATGGTCAGCAAACTTGAAATTCTTTGATTTTTATCTGGTTAACTCGATCTTGTCACAGGTAGATCGTCAGCGAGATCAGCAGTTCTATGATGACGTGAAAACTCACTATGCCGAGATCATTCAGCTCTACAAGAGGTTAGTGTAGGTGCAGAGAGTTTTGAAAATTCTGAGCATGTTTATTGTCAGGGGAACGTTTTTGGCCTTTGAGCTGGAGGCAAACCTCAAGCTTGCAAAGCTACTTTCCAGGTAAAAATTGATAACAGTGAAGCAGCTCTATTCTGAATTCGTTTGTACTTTCAGAAAAGAGTCAACCAAAGATGCCATCGACATTTTGACAAACTGTATTGAGTCCGGTAAAAGTTTATTGGAGCCAAATGACCGGCTGGTTTTGTTTGTTGAAGTGGCCAGAATATATGGATTTCTGGGGTATGAGAGAAAAGCTGCTTTTTATTCTCGAGAAGTTGCTCATCTGTACTTGCAGCAAGACAATCACTGGGCTGCCTTGAGTGCTCTACAGATATTACATTCGTTGTCGAGTACATATTGTCCTTCAAATTCTGCACACAAAGTAAGTCGAAGTCTCCATGATCAGATGTTTCACTGACGTTGTATATTGTCTCCAAGGAAGTTCGTGGCATTAATTCACGAGTGCACCGCACAAATGATGCCCCATGGAGCAGCTTGCAAATCGACGTTCTGGCAAACATGCTGGCTGCTTCTATACGTGGTGGCGATGCTTTAGCTGCATGGTGTGCAGCGTCACAGCTTCTTCGAGCTCATTATCCACTTATCACACCACATGCCCAAATTAGCCTTGCCACTGCTTTGTCAACAGCTGCGGCAAAACTCCCAGGTGGGACACGGTCTTCAGTTCCAGCGCTCCCTTTCCTCAGGTGACTTGACGCTTTGAGTTGTACTGTTTTTTTCAACTGACTCAATTTTCGCAGGTGGCACTCGTTTCCTCAGGAAAGCTCGCAAATGGACTTTATCAAACGGAAACCTGGGAAAAAGGAATGGTGGACAGAGAGCAGCTCATCCGGCCCGTTTATCTACACGCCGTTTTCAGGGAGGCACAAGGAGCCGAAAAAGATTCAGCTCGTCTGGATAGTTGGGGAACCAGTCGAAGTCCTCGTTGAAGTTGCGAACCCTTGTGCCTTCGAAATCCACGTTGAGAGTATATGCCTGTCAGTGGAACCGGGGGAATTCGAGGCGTTTCCGCTGTCCTTCGTCTTACCTCCGAATGGATCGGACGTTTTGTCACTCTCTGGGAGGCCACTTTCGACCGGGTCACTGACAGTACGGGGATGCTTTGTGAACTACAACGGCGTTGTTACCGAGCACTGTTTTGGGGGCACAGATGCTGAGAGAGGCTTGTTCCTGGCAGATCCATTCCGAAGCTCGGGCAGAAGTGGGTTGAAACTCCGAAACAAGCCTCTCCCGGACATCAAAGTTATTCCTCCGCTGCCGTCTCTAGTAGTGGACGTTGTTGGCGGAGAGGGCGTGGTAGTCTTGTACGAGGGGGAGGTTCGCAACATGACGATCGACCTGTGCAACGTTGGTTCCGTGCCAGTTATAGAGGCGAACGTAACAATGGTGGCGAGGCGCCGCGAGCAACATGTATATGTGGAGGACGATGTTCTTCAAGCGGCACTACCTCTACACACTGGCAGAAAGGCGTCCGTGCCAATACAGCTCCAAATTGGCCACCTGGATTCGCAGAGTGAGAGAAAGACACTCGAAAACTCCACTCAATCTTTGGACGAAGAAGCTTTTCTTCATATCCACTACGCAGGTAACGTACGCAGTTTATCTTCTGAAACTAACGGAGGACATTTTTACAGGCTCTCCAACTCTTGAAAGCACTGACGAAGAACTCTCTCCTGGTAGACGGCTGACTAGTCGTTTGAGGCTTCGAGTTCTTCAAGGCCTTCGTCTTGTCAATTCGCGGCTGCTGTCGATGGAGATTCCTCTTCAACTAAGCAGTACTCTCCCAGCGGACACTCGCAAAGCCGAAGCAAACGCCGCAGTGAGAATGGATCCTTACAGGGGAGGCTGGAATCTACGAGTGCTCGAACTAGAGCTGTGGAACGGGACGGACGCTTTCTTTGAAGTGACAGTGGCCGTCAAAGGCGAAGAACTTGATGCCAGTACGAAAGTCGACAGGAAGCACTGTGCACGGGTTCTGGTTCCGTTGGAGAAATTCAAGCTGCCAGCTCTGGGCGACAAGGCGTTCTTCGCAACAGCTCGAGCTCTGGAGCACAGGTCCAGGAACGAAGTCACCTCCACCATCGAGGAGCTGTGCTCGAGCATCCGCGTGAGGTGGTCGTCGGGGAAGAACACCAGCGGCGAGCTCCACTTGAAGGACGCAATCCGCGACGCACTGAGGGACTCGGTCCGGGAGATCCTCCTCCCGGATCCACTCACATTTGCATTCAGGCTCGCGGCAGGAGAGGACGTTCGTGCGAACCAGCTCGTCCCGATCGAGATGCTCGTCAAGAACAACACGGCCGAGGACGTGGCCGTGTCGCTCAGCGTCGCTTGCCGGGACATCTCTGGAGCGAGCTGTGTGGTGGAGCAGCAAATCCTCTACGCTGGTAAGTTCCCTCCACAGTTTTTTTCTTCGTGAGATAACTTTGAGAGCTTTGGATCAGGCGCTCTGGATGGAGTGGAGGTGGAATTGAGCTCTCTGGGAGAGGCAGTGCATAGATTTTCGCTGTTCTTCCTCGTTCCAGGAGAGTACACGCTTCTAGGAGCGGCAGTGGTATCGTTGCGCGACGATTCTATATGTTACTGCGGGCCTCCTTTTGCCGTCCACGTGGCCTGATCTTGGACGTTTAAATAATCCCCGAGTGGAAGCCCTAAATGGTGTAGAGAGTGAAAAGATGGCGGAGCTGGAGCTGGTCTTCTTCAAACTGTCCGCAATAGATCTGTGCCAGGCAAGGTGTGTGTGTCGCAAATGGCGAAGAGCAATCGATGATCCCAGCTTTCGCAAGGGTTATGCGTGCTCCCACCACTGCATCCCTCATCTCTGCCTTTGTATCGCCGATGACGAAGAGAAATCCATCTTCGTGAGGCCAGTCGAGAATTCCCTGCGCAGCGAGTGGCGCCTCTTCCAGACGCTCCCCAAGGGTATGAGGATCGTCAGCAGCGACGTCGGCTTGCTGTGCCTGGCCACGTTTGAGAAATTTGGGCAGACCTCTTGCATCTTCGTGTGGCGCTACAGCAATCTCAACTCCTCGCCGGCAAGAGTTCCTTTGCCGCCAACAGACAGCGAGCAAATGCACATAGTGGTGTACAACCGCGAGAGGGATCTATCAACACGAGAGTTTTGTGTCGCTATCTTCGTCATGCCATGGGTCTCGCTGTACATTTACGACTCGGCTCGGGGCGAGTGGTCCAGGCGCAAACAAGAATGCCCAGAACCATGGCACACGTTTCGCATGAATGGCTTCTATCCGGTCCTGGATCATGGTGAGGTGGTGGTGTTTTGCACTGGTTCTCAGAAGATTGCGAGATACAACTTGTGAGATGGTTGCTGGCGAATTTTGGAGGTTGATCCCAGCGAGATGGGGGCAAATAACTTGTGCTTCCTTCAGCTGGATTGGGACCGGCTTTTGGTGGTGAGTGATTTAGAAATTGGGGGGGGAAGAGGCAGGGAGAGAAGTGGGAGATTGTTTTGTGCCATGACAAGGAGTTTGACGTGAACTCGACGTGCACTGATGGGAGAAACAGTATATGGTTGGTTGATTGGGCCAGCTCGCGTATTGTGCACTATGGAGTTGATTCCGAGAGCTGGTCAGTGGTGGAGGCGCCCGATGCTCTGACAGAAGCCTGGGGGGAGCTTGCTTGGTTCTCTTGTTAAAAGCAAGTTCTTCATGTCAGATAAAGCTAGCTTTTTTTCCTTTCCAGGAGCCTGGATCATCATATTGCTAAAAGGTTTCCTCACCTTCTGAAGTATTGCTGCAAACTCAAGAGAAGTTTCTTCTCGAAGACGAAGGACATTGCGGTGCTTTAAGAACCGGGAGTTCTTCTGGATGGTGATTCAGGACACAGCAGCGTGATGATTGGCATCGCTGTTAGAATATGATGCTGTAAATGAACAAAGGTGGTAAGTCACTGCTTTGCAAAGAAGAAGATTGAGTACGTTTGCGACCCTGATCACCCCCGCCTCAAACCTTGACAGCTTTCAAATGTGTTCTTTCAAGACCTTCGACTTCTATTCCTCTTCGAGAAGGGATCCATGATTTTGTCAAAAATATGTGGAACTTGGCTGGAAGCTCATTTAAGTCTTATCTTTGGTTATGAGATTTTATTTTTAGGGTTCCTTGGGCATTGTAATCGCGAATCCAGGTTCTACACGGTTTCTCTTCTCTCAATCCAATCCAGGGTAGAGATTTTCATCCCAATGTACCTTGCCAGGTCTGTGGCGAGCTCCAATGACGCTCACCGCCCACAATTTCCCCACAGCTCGATGCTCGGAGGGCCTGTCTCGTCGCTCCTCGGCAACGGCGGCGGCGATGGGCATTGTAGAGCACACCTCTCGCTCGAGATTTTGGCGTCGAGGAGGAAGCAGGGCGATGGATGCTCAGCGGTGACAAGGCCAGCGTCTCTTTTCGTGAAGCGATCTCCAGTCCCGGCGAGGAGGCCTCTCGGCTACATTCCTTTGTCAAGCATCTCCAACAACAATCCCGAAGGAGACGAGGAAGAAGAAGAAGAAGAAGAAGAAGAAGAAGATCTTCTAGAGAAGGAAGAAATCGATGGTGGCCGTCTAGCGAAGGCGAAGAAGCCCGAGCCAGTCCAGGTGAGAAAAAAATCCGACAGGGTCTCCAAATGGGCGAGCTTGTTCGAGGCCGCGAATGGATCCAGCTCGTCCAGCACCGCCACCGCCGAGACCAACAACAACACCGATGCTTGGTTCGATAAGATCTTCCCGAAGAACCCGGCCGGAGGAGCTTCGTCCCCTCCAAGCTCCTCCAAGCTGAGTGCCCAGCAGGAGAAGTCGATCCAGCAGCTCCAGTCCCTGGTGAAGACGCTGGGCGTGGCGACGAAGAATCCGCCTCCGCCGGCCCGCAAGAACAAGCCCAGCAAGATCCGGCAGCTGCCAGTGGAAGGCGGCGGCGTGGTGGATCCGGTTCCATTCGCGTCCATCCTCAAGAAGCTCCAGTCGGTGTCGTCGCCCAAACCGGAGCAACGATCGAGATTGGGGCAAGAGCTCGAGAGATCAACAAAGGTGGTGGAGGAGCTTGGAAGCGAAGAAGAGGGATCGGAAACATCAGAGTCGGGAGGATCGACAGCAAGGATAGAAGAAGAGTCGAGTGAGGAAGAAGGGGTGTTTAGCAGGAAATCTGCGGTGGAGGAGATCAACGATCTGGCCAAGTTGACAGTGCCTACGCTGAGAGGCATGGCCAAGTCGAGGGGATTGTCTGGCTACTCGAGGCTCAAAAAGGATGACTTGGTCCATCTCTTGACAAGTTCTGATAAATAAAAGTAAATGGATCGTCAAACGAAGAAAAACTTCATTCATGCAAACTTCTATTCTGGAGGAAAAAAAAGAAAGGAAGACATATACTTTGTGTTACAAATAATTTATTTTAGAAGAAATGTCAAGAAGAAAGAAGAAGAACAGGCTATTGACCGATTGAGTTCTTGCTTATGGCAAGCTGAACCGGCCTGCCAGTGTTGACTCGATAGCTCATTCAGCCGCCTGTCCTATTGCCTCCCCCAGTATGCATCCTCAATCACGCTCTCGTCGCTGAGAAGTGCTAGCATGTTACATTAGCATGATTGTGACTATGTTCCACGCAAGCGAGCTAAGATCCTGGAGCATATAGTGGAAGTAAGCCAGGGAATACATCCCAATTCATATCATCCAAACTTGCCAAATAAACAATCTATGCATGAAACAAAGGTGAATTTCCAGAGCTGGAAACAAGAAACAATACCTGATTATCCATATTGGTATTGTCTCAAGTTATTACCAATTTAACATTATCAGATCAATCAAATTTATTTAGTACAATTGCTTTCAAAAATGTTATTATTTCCTGCATTTCACTTCCATAGCTGGAAACAATGGGAAAAAGTTATTCTATTTCTTAAGAGTAGCTTTGTTATTACTTTATGTTAAATATCTTCTCAATCTTTACACTAATGTTTATAATATTTTTGTCAACTTGGTATAAACATGATTAAATTATTATAAATACTTATAATATTTTCCACAATTAATTTAATTGTTGGAAGAATAGAAGAATTGATTGATCTTTTTTGAGCTCTTAAAAACACTAAAAAATAAATCTATATACATTGTGTTTTATTACTAACAAAATAATCCACAAAAAAAATAGTATTTTCCATTGGCCTTTATTTATAATAATTTTTTCCTTCGCTAGATATACAACTAAAGAAAATAAAAATTATAAAATAGCAACATATTATAAATAAAAATATAGTAAAATACATAAATAAATAATTTTTAATGATTCAAAAAATGAAGAGGGATTTAATAAACTTAAATAAATTATTTTAAGTTTATTAAGAGTTTATAAACCTCATTAAGTTTTTAAAATTAAATTTTCTGTTGAGAGATAACTAATTCTTTATTATATGTTAAAAAACTCATAAAGTCATGAATATATATATATATATATATATATATATATATATATATATAGTTATGGCTATATAAATTTAGTCATTCAGTCATTTTTAAATGTATTATTTTTTTTTCTTTCCATTTATTTTCTAAGTTGTAGATTATTATAATAATATACACTATTTTCATTAACAAAACTAGATATAACAGAAGAATTTTAAACTTTGTAAATAGAAGTGCATGTGGGGCATCGTGGCAACTTAAGGATAACTATAATAATGTATATTAACTTTATATTTTTCCTTGATCATAATTAATTTATTACTTATTTTTGTAAATAATGGAGTTAATAAATAACAAAGATTTTTTTGATTTAAAAATGTTTTACATAGAACTACATTGTATAAGATGTTTATAAACTTAAAAAAATAAATATAAAAATCTAAATAAACTTTACGACTAATGTATCAGAATGTTTTTTATTAACTTGGCATTCTAATTATTTTCTTAAGCCAAGGGCATAAAAAATAAATTAATCATATAAATAGGTTTTTTTATACTATTTTTTAGAATTAGTTATTTATTTCCATATTTAATATCTAAGTTGCATATTTTTGAATTACAGATATCCTTTTATAAAGTAATTCAAATGAGATAACTTAAAATTTAAAATTATCATCATATGGAATTAATTAGATAGACTATAATGTTTTTGAGTATGACATGCTATAACTTAAAATTGAAATCTTTTTTTTTATGTGATTTAAAATAAAATTCTCACTATGATTAATAGTTTAAATTATAGAAGTTATAGTGATATTAATTAGTCATAACTATAATAAATTTGCCACTGTGAAAGCCAAGTGTACGACTACAATGTTGTATATTAATATTAGCATAGTGGGATTTTGGTAGCCGTTGGATTGATTTCAGTTCGGACCATTTGCTTTGTATATAAGATACGGTTTTTGGGCTAATTGATATGCACATTTTTTGTATTCCCTTTCTATATTCTAAGCATTCATATTGGTGGAGATGAGGGGCACTTTTTCTTATCCTTGAGGAGTGCTTGGATTTGAGATTTTGATTTAGATATAACTTTTGTATCGTCTAGATCTAGTTTTTTCCATTTCTTTTCTTTTGTTCTTTCCTTTCAGGATTTTGGTTTCAATCTAGTTTTTTGTATTGCCTAGATCTACCATTTCCTTCTATTATTCTTTTCGTGTTAGTTGATACAAGTTTGAGTTTATCTTTTATTGCATGACTTGTTGCCACATGTTGCCATCTACACTTGCATCGTGTGCCGGAACTAATTTTCATTCTTTATAGCAATAGCCGTACATATGCATGTGCACGGGATGAGGTGGACTTGGTTGTGCGTGTGGGTGATCTCGAGCTTGAGTTGCAGTCATTGTGAGTGGTGCCGAGTCAAGCTTTTGACCTCATCTTTGGTATGAATTAATTGCAGTGTAATCATGCCAAGTGTGACTTTGAGGCTTTTCCCCTCTGTCTCATGTTTCTTTATGTTTCATCCATTTCTATCACTTCTATACCTCTTCGTCCCTCTACTTCTACTTTTGTTTCCATTACTTTTGTTCCCCCACTATTTCCTCCTATGTTTCTATCTTGTTCTGTTCTTCCCTTTTCTGATTCATTTGACAATCTTTGTGTTGCAGCAGTTGACCGGCTCATGAAGGAGTATTCTGATCTCTTTGAATTTGACCTATCGTCTAGGGCCAAGATTGCCACACGTTATCTGATTCCAACCAAGGATGCTTGTCCAATCAAGGTTCCTGTTTGTCGTCGGTGTAGCACATGTGATCATGGGATGAGATTTAGATATACTGTTACCGTGGATCCTTGGAACCTTGGGAGATAAATGGGGATAAAATAACTACTAAGGGCTCTCTCATCAAGCAATTGCCCCTTTTCCAGTTGGCTTAAGGGGAGAGAGATAAGGTGCGCTACAGTTGGTATCGGAGCAAATGGCACGGGTTCGATTCCCATTGATTAATGGCTACTTAAAAGTATAATATACCCTTGAGCAAGGTATATTCCTACCCCTAAATTTGAAATCGTATGTATTGGGCATCCATATGTACATCCTTCCTCTTGTGTGGAGTATCCACGGACGAAGGTATCCACCGTGGGACTGCGGTACGGGTGGATGACTAGTTGCCTCACAATAGAAGGATTGGTAGATTGAGTGCGGAAATGGAGGTGTTGGTTCCCCTTGGCTCAGTAGGGGTTGTTAGTCAATAGTCAATGTCTACACAATGGAAGGATTGGTAGATTGAGTGCGGAAATGGAAGTGTTGGTTCCCCTTGGCTCAGTAGGGGTTGTTAGTCAATAGTCAATGAGGACATTGACATCTCTGAAGGGGGGGTGAGTGTAGCGCATGTGATCATGGGATGAGATTTGGATATACTGTCACCGTGGATCCTTGGAACCTTGGGAGATAAATGGGGATAAAATATGATTTTGATTTTATGTGCAAATGTCAAGGACATGTTGGAGAAGGGTGTTATTCGGAAGTTGTGGAATCTTTGGGCATGTGAATCTCATCTTGTGATAAAGCCTGATAGGAGTATTTGTTTCTGCATCGACTATTATCCATTAAACGAAGTGACGATCCTAGATGTGTACCCTCTTCCTCACACTACTGATCTTTTGGATTGTCTAGGGCAAAGTTGTTGGTTCACCAAGTTAGATTTTGCTTCTGGGTACTGGCAAGTACCGATGGCCGAAGAAGATATTCCTAAGACTGCTTTTTGTATATCATTTGGTTTGTATGAGTTCTTGGTGATGCCGTTTGGTTTAAACAATGCTCCACCAACTTTCCAGTGAATGATGGATGAGGTTCTTTGCAATATGCCGGAGATGACTGCTAATTTCATTGATGATGTCTTGATCCACTCAGAGGGGACATGGGAGGAGCATGTTCGTGATTTTTGTAAAGTGTTGGATCGGCTATGCGACTTTGGTTTAAAGGTGAAGCGGTCGAAATGCATGTTTGTGTCCAAGGACACAACTTATCTTGGGTACCATATTTCTCGTGAGGGTTTGCAAGTTGATCCTGATAAACTTGTGGCTGTTCTAAAGTTCCATACTCCGAAGTGTGTGAATGATGTGTAGCCCTTCTTGGGCAAGGTGCAGTATCTCGGTCGTTTTGTGGATCATCCTTCTAATCGCACTGCACCGTTGCGAGCGTTGCTGAAATCATCAACATCATCTTTCATCTGGTTTCTAGATTGTGAGCGGGGATTCGTGGATCTCAAAGAACTATTGACAATTCCTTTGGTTTTGGCATATCCTGACTACACTCGACCTTTTATTTTGTGCGTGCATGTTTCTAACATTAGTCTTAGAGGTGTGTTGATGCAAGAGAGCTCAAGTGTGCTTGATCAGTGCCATCCTATTGCATATATAAGTTGTATGTTACAACCGGTGGAGATGAACTACTCCACGACAGAGAAGGAGTGTTTAGTAGCAATCTGGGTTTCGAGAAACTTCATGCATATCTATATGGTTCTTGGACGTTACTTGAAGGTGACCATGCTGCTATTACTTCATTATTGAAGCGGAATAACTTGGTTAGTCGTACTGCTTAATGGGCTTTGAAGCTTTAGATATATGATTTTGATGTTGTTCATTGCCCAAGGAGTTTTATGGCTGATGCTGATGCCCTTTTTTGAGCTCCTCTTTCTTCTCCACTCTCTTCTCATGTTTCTGATAAGCTTGTTGTTCTAGCATCTGTGGATTTTCTAAATGAGGATTTTGTGCCATCTGCTGTTGCCGTACTTGATGTTCAGTGTCCACAAAGCACAGAGCAAGATCTACCTTCTCTTGATAAGGTTCGCAAGGCTTAAAAGATTGAGCCGTGGATTCAAAGGCTTCGAGATAGGTTTGAGAATCCTACATCACTTGCTGATGACTTACTTTTTCCGGCATTTACATTCTCAATATCACCTTGAAGACGGCCTTCTTTATTTTGTGGGGATAGATTCTGATGATCATTTACGGTTGGTGGTGCTTTCTATCTTTATTCCACAGTTTCTTTATGCTTACCATGATTCTCCTGTTCTAGGTGGGCATATAGAACATCGTCGTGTAGCCAAGAAGCTGCACAGGTTTTTATATTGGCCGGAGATGCAATGTGATATTATCCGGTATGTGCATAGTTGCGTTTGGTGCCAAGCTCGTAATATTCCTCCTTGTGCTACGGAAGGACAATTGGAGTCAATTGCAATTTCCCATCCGTTTGAGTTAGTGGCGTTTGATCTTATGGGACCTTTTCCACGATCGGCTGCTGGCAATGAGTATGTTATTATTGTTTTTGACTACTTGACTTGTTGGGTGGAAGTTGGTGCTCTTGCTAGCGCTTTTGCAACTTGTGTTGGATACTTCCTTCTCAATCAAGTGGTGTTCCAGCATTCTTGTCCAGAGCGGATTCTTTCAGATAATCATCCCGCATTTATGGTTGAAGCATTTCATGTTTTGATGTCTCTATTGGAGATACACCACACTTTCACGAGTGCTTATCATCCACAATCAGACGGTCTGGTGGAACAACTCATTCGAATATTCAAAGGGATGATTGTCAAGTATGTGAACTTTCAGCATTCGGATTGGGATAGTTATTTGCCATCTCTTCGGTATGCATATGTCATAGGTGTGTAGAGTTCTATTGGTGCTTCACCATATAAACTCTTATATGGTCATGATCCAATATTACCAACGGAATTGGGTTTACCTTTGCGATTGTTATGAACTGCTGATGTTAAGTTGTGGGATCAATATTTGACGAGCATTCTTCCACTTGTCCAAGCAGAGTCTGCAGAACACTTAGGCCGTGTACAAGTGGGACAACAACAATATTACAACTTCCATCATCATTCACCTATAAAGTACAAAGTGGATGATTTGGTGTTAGTTTGTTTTCCCCATCTTACGGTACGTGGTTTATCTAAGGGGCTCCTTGCGCAGTGGAAAGGACCATATCAGGTGTTGCAACAAGTTGGATCACAAGTTTATGAGGTTTGGAATGATGTCCAACAGGCTGATCCTCCAGAGATTGTGCATGTGCAGCAATTAAAACGCTTTATACAAAGGGATCAGGAGCAATTAATACCACCTACAAATCTGCCCATGCCTCCTCCTGACATTCCTCCAGATCCTAGCCTGTCTACATGAAAACCCTGATGGTTTTTCTATTATTCCAAGAGGAGGGGATGATACGAGGGCCACTACGATGCCATATATTAATATTAGTGTAGTGGATTTTGGTAGCCGTCGGATTGGTTTCAATCCGGACCACTCGTTCTTATATATAAACTAGAGTTTTTGGGCTAATTAATATTGTATTCCCTTTCCACCACAACATATAATGAAATTTTCTTTAGTGTGAATACATTTCTTTTTTAGATATCCTACCTCAAAAATGTAAATGCCAAAATGGCAAATCAAAACCACTCAATATCACAAACAACACAAGGCACATTCATGCATACATGCTCGTCCAGAAGATTTTCCCACCATAAACCTTAACCCTTAGGGCTCTTGGCAAGGAGCATCCATCGTTGGAGGCATCATGGAATATGTCTTAGTGGCCGCTTCACAGCTTTCAATGGGAACATTGGTCTAATCTCCATGGATTTCTTTTCTCTCGATGTAGACTTCTGTGTCACGTACCCAACGCATCCTCCAGGCTTGGCACAGTGCTACGGAAATTAGCATAGTGGTTCTGCTCATTGGGACCATTATAGGCAAGCCAGTGAAGTTGCTGTCATCGGCATTGAAAACATCACTTCCAATGCTCCTTCCTGGCTAACAGGTAGTGGGCATGTGCTTATGATCCTGTCCGTCGTCGTCATTGTTGCTCCACTTTCCCTGGTGGAAAGAATGAGACAGGTATAGATTTCACAATATTTTTCATTGTGATTTAACTTCTCCAATGCAGCTTGAATTTTTTGCAACTCTAGGAGCATCGATTGTCATCTGACTGCTCGTCGTAAGGGTCATAGGTGCTATCAGGTTCAAGCTTCCTGCGGTGAAAAACGGAAACTGTCGGCTTCACAACTATAGGCAAGTTTCGATTGTATTTAGTCATTCTTTTTATCTGAGACATATCAGTGGATTCAGGCTCTATCACTCAAGCTATTTCGACATTTGGTTTTGCATTTTACGTACAGCCAATGATTGGTGATGCCCTTCCTTACTGAAATGCCCGTTGGTAAAGTTGGTGTGAAGCTGATCTCCAGTTGTATCGCGAGGAGTCGGGGGTGCCAACGTTGAAGTACCTCTTGATCTTCCAGAGTAAGGAATGGACTTGGTAAAACCTTTCAGTGCTTAACCTCGTGGACTCGTCGAATAACGCAATCGTGGGAAACGACGGATCCAAGCACACAGGATCGACTCCGAATGCGAGCTTGCAAATGCTGTCGAAGGCGAACCGCATGAACACGTCTTGCAAGTTGACTCGTCGGCCACAAACGCTTGCAATCGTTGGAAGCAGCCTCTTTTCAATCTTCTCGGCCACAGAATCCATGAGGTAGTCGTGTAGAGACCTCGTAACTCGCAAGTTTTCTCTGCAGCTTCCACAGGCCAGCGTCAGCATTGAAGATACCATCTCCAAGAAGATCTCTCAGCGTGTCACACACATAGTCTCCCTTTGGATACTTGTCGACGTTGATCTTGAGGATGTACTCTACGTTCTGAGCGTTGGACGTGAGCTTGAAGGGCTTCGCTCCTCGCTTCAACGTGATGGTGTGTCCGGGAGACTTGACAAGGCACTCAGTAGTCCATTTGAGAATCCTGCCCTTGTTTTTCAGCAGCTGAGGCATTGTTCCCAGAAGAGGATACATTCGGGGAACAAACTCACCATTACCATGTCGACTTTTCAGGTAGAACCAGACGAAGAAACCAACACAGGAAATCAGCAAAGCAGCAGCTAAAGTACCTTACTCCATATCTCGCTGCCGCAGCACCGAAAAATAAGCGTCTCCTCTCACCTCCTCTCGATACAAGAGCCTCTTGGTTTGTTTGGAAGTAGATAGGGCCGGCAAATGCGGTATATGCTTCATACTTTCGTTTTTCCTCTATGTTCTACTATTTGCAGGCTACCAACTCTCTTGGACCCAGCCTTCATCGTTAACGTTATACCGAGAACCATGTTACTTCGTTATGCTTTGACAAGAGCCAGAAGAACCCATCGCGCCACCATCATATCCCCAAGAACGAGGACGAATGTAAGATGAAGCGAGAAAGTAAATCCTGGCTGAAAGTCAGGACTTACCAGGACTGCCATCCTATTTTTCTAACCTGCTACTTACCACCTATACAGCAGTCACATACGCCATTGACAACTTCCAACGCCTTGCTTCTCGGAGCCCCTCTTGAGCTTTCAGACACCGGATGGATGCTGTCAAATGCAAACCGCAAGAACACGTCCTGCAAGTCTAAACACTAGTTTTCTCTGCATCCGGTGTCCACCAGCGTTGAAGATCCAGTCTCCCAGTTCTGCGAAAGTCAAACATAGTCAAAGCCGTAAACAGCAAAGCGGATGAAATGTTCCTAACTCTTTTCTTGCTCGTAGCATTCGATCACTCTAGAACTTATCTTTTAAATAAAACACGTATTGAAAGCACACAACTTATTCAGCTACAATTGTTGCTGCAATAGGAGACGATCTGGTGTTGTGTTCTAACTCTAGCCCTGGGAACCAGAAGAAATCCAGCTAAAATTTGGTCAGCTATGCTAGGTACGTTCCTAAGATTATCACAGTTGCATGCATCTTGTTCCTTCTAAATCTAAAGACAATTTGCATAGGTTACTGTGACGGAGTGACCACCCTCAACATATACGAGTGCATTAGAGACGTGTTGAAGTCGTGAATTTTTGTTCAGTGGCAAGTTCCCCTTAAACAAATATTGCATTATTCACCAGTTTCCAAAATGGTACACATCATTCACGAGCTCCGAGCTCCGGAATTAAGTTGTTCAAAACTTCTTTCCTTCAGTTGACTCCCCATATGTTTGACTGTTTGCTGAACTTTGAAAATGTTGAATTATAAAAAAATTTCATGTCTAAAGATTTGGAATATTGGCACCAAATTTCAGACTAACGAAGCTTGGGAACAACGGGAAGTCCATCTTTCATGATCAGCGTCATGTTGATACCGTAGCAAGGCTCTTCTTTTCCCACCACCAGCTCAAACTTTGGTACCAGAGCCGCCACCACATACTTCATCTGTAGCATGGCCATCTCTTTGCCCAGACACACTCTCGGCCCGGCTTGAAATACAGGAAACTTGAATGGACTGACCGCGACGAACTGGCCATCCTGGATCCATCTCTCGGGCTTAAACTCGAGGCAGTCCTTCCCCCACAAGCTCTCCATCCTTCCCATAGCGTAGACGTGATACGATACCTTCATCCCCTTCTCCACGCAATTACCATCCGGGAGAACGTCCGAGTTCTTCACGACCTTTGTGTCAATCGGTACTGGGGGATAGAGCCTCATTGATTCGCACAGAGCTGCTTGCAAGTAGACCATGTCCCGAAGCTCTTCGTAAGTGAATGGCCTGTCTGACCCTTTCGCGACTATACTCCCGACTTCCCTGATGATTTCCTGCTGAACACCTGGATGATTCGAGAGCAGCCAGAAGAACCACGAGAGTGACACCGCTGTTGTGTCCTTGCCGGCGAGCACGAAACTTATGATGATATCCCGCAAAAACTCGTCAGAGAAGCTCGTCGAGTCGAGTCCAATGAACCTCGAGAGCAAGTCCTGGTTGACCCTTCCTTTTTCTTCTCGCCGCTTCTGGACCACTGACACTGCAAACTCGTTCACCACATCCAGCACCTCCTTGAGTTCTCTTTCCGGTCCAACGTTGAGAGCTCGCATTAATTTCCACACCAGAGGATGGATCTTTTGGAACCGCAGCGTGCTAAGCGTCGTTGCCTTGTCAAATGCCTGCGCGAACTTCACCTCCGGAAATGATGGATCCAAGCACGCCGGATCAACACCGAAAGAGAGCTTGCAAATGTTGTCGAAGTTAAACCTCATGAACAAGTCCTGTAAGTCGATCTCCTTCCCATCCCGGGAAACACTGGCAAGAGTTGGCAGTAACCGGCTGTGAACTTCGTCCGCCAGGGAATCCATGAGGAACTCCCTCAGTGACCTCGTTGTGAACTCGAAGCTCGCAAGTCTCCTCTGAATCTTCCACAGCTCCCCGTCGACATTGAAAATACCATCTCCCAGCAAGTCGGTCAGGCTCTGCCTCAGGTGTTCTCCCTTGGGATAATTCTCGAAGTTGGTCTTCAAGATGTGCTCCACAGTTGCGGGATTGCCAGTGATTTTGAAAGTGCTGCCAAACCTCCCAGTGGTGAAAGTATTGGAGGGAGAGTTGATCACGTACTCTGTCGACCACTCGAGAAACCTGTGGCTGTTGCGAAGGAAGTCGAATACATTCCCAACCACTGGATAAAGTACTGGACCACCTGTTCGTTGCGAGTCGGCTCTTGATTGAATCGTCCTCCGGACTATCCAGCCCACCGCTGCCGCAAGAACAAAGCTCAAGCTCCACAACATACCTTGGTTCATGCTGAAAGCCCAGAAAAGGAGTGACGCATGTCAGTCGCCCTGACCAGTTAAAAACCCAAGTCACGAGGGAAGAAAAGCCAGCCAAAGGAAAAGATTCGAAGAAGCTCCCTTACGAGAAGAGACACGGCACGCACTTGAGACGGTGTAGAGGCTCGTACCAGTGGATCTGAAAGTCACCAAGTCAAGTCATTACAAAAGAATCTAGATTTCTAGTACCTTGTTGAAGTTTGGAATGACCCATGTTTTCTGTTGAGACCGCTCTGTTTCCACCACCCGAAACTTAACTTTTGGAACCAGAGTTGCTTCATCTGTAGACATGTCTTGACTCGAAACTTGAATGAACTCGCACTGATCCATCAAACTCGAGGCAGTTCCCACACTAACATTATCTGACGACTGTAGTATCATATGGGAGGATACAGCCTCACAAGAGTAGAGCTCGTCGTAAGAGAATTTACCTTCGCCAGAAGAACCAGGAGCAGTTGTGTCCATCCCGGCCAGCAGGAACTGATTAACTCGATTCAGAGGTTCTTACTCAAAGAGCAAGTCGTTCAGATCAAGGAGTGAATTCTTAGAAACTGGAGTTGCTTACGTATGGTCAGGCTTCATGAACTTTGCGTGAACCCAGACTCGCTTCATAGGAACTTTAGTTTTGTGATTCACCAGCTTAATGCAGCAGTACTCCAGTTCAACCTGGAAAAAGAACAGACAGAATAATAATAACAAGGAAACAAGCCTCGTTTTACCTCGAGCAATCCAGCACCCGTAACAAGATCACGCACGGCTTCGCACGAGAAGAAATACGACAAAGTACCATCGAGACGGCGATAGCAATTAGCAGCTACTTTTTGGTCTGCTGGAAATCTCAACATCGTCATGTCATACAAGCCTGTAAGCTTGCCACTGTGAGTCTTACTTCACGGAGAAATAGCATACCATAATCTCGAAAGAGAAGCATTCCACCGGGTCGGAGTACAGAGCAACATTCTTTGAGAAGGTTGCTCATTTGATCCAGATCTGCCAGCGCGGAAAGAGCGAAAATCTGAAAAGACAAATCAGTTTTAATTGCAAGACAATTTCAGGCTTACCAGCGTGATGAAATCTGCTCCTCCTTCGCAGCAGCTTACAAGGAAGCTCTTGATACCAAAGTCGGAGGCTCGACAGGCGTCACAAGCCAGCCACGCCGGAAGTGCCTCACAGGAAGGATCGCAAACAAAAGTCCGCAGCCTCGACGTTGCTTGCTCATTCAAAGCTTTATCTCCCATTTTGTTTGTGAGGCTCACGGCAGCCTCACTGAGGTCGCAAGCATACACTTGCTCTGGAACAAAATACGTCCTTCAGTAAGAGGGAATAGCAAACAACATCAAACCTCAGGATCGGAATGGCCGAACTTCCAGCTCCACATCCAAGCTCCAGAACAGTGAACTCTTGATTAGATCTTCCAAGCTCAGGGAACTCTTTGAGAAGACACCTAAGCCCGTAAGGCAACAGTGCAGTGCTGATGCTTACTTTAAAGAAGATGCTTTGAGAGTGTCGGCTGTGAAACTTCTCCCATGCCAAGGCTGCAGTACAGGCATGCTCGCTAGAAATCGCTACGCGAGCCAAATCCGCCAAAGGCAAAGAGAACAAGCCATTAGGAAACAATATAATGTAAGCCCAACCTGTGCGCTTTCCACCTCTTCGCGCAGATCATTCCAATCAAAATCCTTGGAGTAGTACGCGACTTCTTCTTCCATGAGACCTAAAACGAGAGGCCAAATAAGAGTTGAATTCAATGTAAAAATCGCATTTTCACCACAAAGATGCTGGTTTTTTGCAATTTCAAAAGGCAAATAGACCGCAAAATTCTTTACATTTAGGAATTTGTTTAGGTCACCGTGACCTATGGCTATTGGCGTGCTCGCTCTCCAGGGCTCCTTCCACGAACACGTTCTAGGTTTGTAGCATCTCTAGTTCCAAAATGCCGCTCGCTCTTATCGATTGCGCGGCGCAGCGCTGCGGAGATTGGGCGTGCATGCGATCGAAGTGAGAAAGGCGGATCAGCTGGACGGGCTCGCGGGGCTGATAATTCCCGGCGGCGAGAGCACCACAATGGCCAAGCTCGCCAATCAATACAATCTCGTGAGTTCTTCCATCGCTTCTAGGCTAGTTCTAGAAAACAAAACTTTGCTTGCTTGCTTTGTAGTTTCCAGCGCTTAAGGATTTCTCGACGTCTGGAAAGCCGATGTGGGGGACTTGCGCTGGACTTATTTTTCTAGCAGACCGAGCTACCGGTACTTTTGTTCTTCGTTCTCTGACTATCAAGGCTTTCTGTAACTCTCTCCACAGGGCTAAAGGATGGAGGACAAGAGCTTCTGGGCGGATTAGACTGTACAGTTCATAGGAATTTCTTTGGAAGCCAGGTACTAGTTTTTCTCTCTTTTAGAAACATAGTTTTGATCCTTGAGCTCTTCAAAAATCAATCCAGGTGAATAGTTTTGAGACGGAGCTCGCTGTTCCGGCTCTGGCGGCGAGCGAAGGCGGTCCTCCAAGGTGCCGTGCAGTTTTTATTCGTGCTCCTGCCATCGTTGAGTTTGGATCTTCCGTAGAACAGATAGCGGACTGTGAAGTGCCGTCTTTCAGCGCTCCACCTTCGCTCGAGGTACAAAATTTCCATTGCCTTAGAAGCTGAAAGATCTCTTTCTTCGCATGGAACTTTCACAGGGAGAAATGTTTACGAGAAGAAGGGTCGCGGTCGCGGTGAGACAAGGAAACTTTTTAGGCACTGCGTTTCATCCGGAGCTAACATCGGATACTCGATGGTAAGAACAGTTTCAAGAGATTGTTTCTTCTTCTTCTTTTTGCTTGATGGCTGTATTGCAGGCATAGCTACTTCGTGAAGATGGTTCAAGCATTTGAAGAAGTTGCAGCCAGTTCAGCGCTAGTCCCGCAGAAGTTTTGCTGCCGGAACGATTCGTTCGAGGAGATGAAGGATCTCCCCATCTTTGAAGGCTTGGTGCAAGAAAAAATTCTCTAGTAAGTCCAGGCAATACATTCTTTCGGAAACTCGATGCATGAGTTTCCAAAGTTTCCATGAGCTTCTTCTTCTCGGCATCAAGTACGTGGAACTTCGGGTGGAAGTGGCGAGCCGCTCGTGGTGGTGCTCGCATAAGGTGGCTGTCTCTCTGTCCCTAAAGCAGCAGCACGATCCAGCCAAAGACGAAGATAGCTTGCAAATCTCAAAGGAATCTTTAGAAAAAAGCCGATATTTCGAGACTTCCAATATGAATCCTTCATGGCTTGGGAATCCAGCCATCGCCCTGGATGAATTCTTGAGCGGAGTATGCCGAAGTTTGTGAAGGATTTAGCTGTGTCGACCAGGAAACTCTGTGGCTCGCATCAGCACCAGGACCATAGCTTTCGTACTCGGCGAAGAGCAGTGTATCAAGAGCGAAGTCTCCCTTCCAGGCTAGCCAGCCTTGCGGATCCACAGAGCTTGAGAGGTAGCAGTCGAGGAAGACCGCTCTCGAGAACATTTTCCAAGGCCTCCCCAAGTACACGTGCAGTTTCTTCGGTGCTCCACCCGAAAATTCTTCCGAGGTCTCGACGGAGCACTTGTGGAACACGAATCCAATTGTTTGAGCGGGATCGATCCTTCCATGAGCGGTGACCATGCTGGTATAGATACCCGTTCGTCCAGGACGGACAACGAGCTTACAGTTGGAGAAGAAGGCCGCGGCATTGCCAAAGATGAAGTCGACGGTGCCAGCGATGGTGCAATTCTCGAAGTAGTGCCTGTTTGTGTGAGAGTAGAGCGTGTCCTGGTAGCCTTCGAGGGTGCACGACTGGATGACTGCCTTGTCTGAATTGATCCGGAGTGCCACCGCTTGATGAAGCTCGGGACCGGCTGTGTTCCGAATTGTCAGGTCCCGAGCAACAAATCCATCTCCAGCAACCACTAGAAAAGAGAAAGAAACAACGAGAAAAATCAGCTCATGAAAGAAGAACAAAAAGTCTGTAAAGGAACTTACACACTGTGGCAGTATCCATGGTTGTCACGCCTTCGCGAACGTAATTGTTGCCGGAGATGATCGTTTTCCTCGCACCGGCACCCACGAGCATGATCATGCTCTTGGAGTCAGAGACGTAAATGCGCTCGTCGTAAATCCCCTCTTGAATGTAGATGGAAAATCTCTCCTTGCTATTGCTTGGAGCGCTGTCGATGGCCTCCTGGATCGTCTTGAAACTTCCACTCTTGCCAACAACCACCGAGAATTTACGCTGCTGCTCAAGCTGGATCCAGCCTGATGGACGTAAATCTTCCACTGGAACTTCTCCTCCTCCAGTTCTTCCAAGCGAGAGCTCTCGCTTGGAAGGAGGTGGCTTCCAGCTTGAAACGTTGTCTCCATAGAGAGCCCAAGCATCGGCCATGGAGAGGGCATTGCTGATCAAATCCATTCCGGCGTTCACCTGGAGCATCACCCTCTGGACCTCTGTGCTGGAATTCACGTAGCCAAGAGCCGAGAAGCAATCGTACTGATAGGCTAGAATGCCGCTCAACCAGGCCTCGAAATCCTTCACCACCGCGATCGATAGCCCCAATCGCCGGAGCTTCTCGTAGCGATTGATCGCAAAACCAAGGACATGGACGCAATCGGTCGATGCCGCCGTGAGATTCTTGTTGCCCCCGGCGCGATCAAGGATCCCGGCTGTGAGATTGAAGCTGCGAGAGGACGATTGCGACGCCAGATCGATCGCGAGCGAGATTATCTGGTCGGGAGAGGTGAATCCCTGCCTGGACCGGGGATCCGCGGCGATGGATGAGACGCATACCTCCGGATAGCGCGTGCCGTGGCACGCCGAGACGATGAAGGGATCGACGTCGCGATTATCGCCAGGCCTTGCCAAGAGGGACCGCCGGCTGCCGATTCTTCCCGCCGTGCTAGTAGCAGCTGCGAAGAACCCTAAACCCGCCACTACCAAGACGAGCAGCATTGCGACTTTCCACCGCGATGGAGCGGCGTCGCTCTTCGCCATTTCTTCTCCTCCTCCGCCTCTCCCTGGCCGGAAGCGCTGATTCTGAGCAAGCTCAAAATCTCCCTCCTCCTCGTCCAGCATTCTCCTCCTGTGCTTCACGATCGACTCAATCGCTGCAGGCAACTAGCAAAAGTATCAAAGCGATCGTCTCGATCGATCAAGACAGCGACGAAACTTCTGCTTCTCGTGATACCGCCTGATTACGACAAGCATATTCAATGGCGGCAAAGCATATTCTGCCGGCAGCACATTCCGTCTTGCCGGCGGCCGATGCTCGCGAGTACGAAAAAAGCGCGCGTACGGCACGACCACGTCTGTCGCCAGCCTGTCCGCCACCCAGGCGGGTCCCACGGGCTGTAGCCGGTAATGCCGTACACTAGCCACCGGTTCATTTGCCCAGGTAGGCAGTGAGCCAGTCACCCGCGGTACGGCCGGACGGCCTCCATCGGTTTTCTGCGATACTCCCCACGAAGTGTGCACGGATTCACAGCAAAGACGACCACGACGAACAAATAGCTGGAGCTTGACGAGGGCTAGAAGAGCTCCACACAGCGGCGGCGATCATTCTTGTCAATCCAGGGAGCTGCGCGCTGCGATTGCATTCTCGGCGCTCGCGCCGCCGCAATCGATCGAGCAAGAATCGTCGTCTCCCTCCCTATCGGTGCGGGTAAGCGGCTCAATCCATAATCTAGGGTCCCGTTTCCAGGCGAGAGAGCGGTGGAATTCGCGGGCCCAGGGATTTATTTCTTCGCGAGGTGAGAGAGAGCGCGAGGAAAAGAGAGAGAGAGAGAGGAGAAGAAAGATTTCTAAGTAGAAATCTTTGGCCGGGAGGATTGGAGAGAGGGGGGAAATTGGAGCAGTTTTCCGGATAAGGATCTCACAGGAGTTCGTTCTCTCGCTCGTCACATTTAAGGCAGCTCGACAAGCGCTGGCTGGGAATTTCCGCAAAGGACAAGCATAGTTAGTTCGAGTTCTTCGTCGGCCGAGGTAGAAGCAGGCGAGGCTATGGATTAGAAACGAATGAAGCTGGGAAGAATTGGAGCAGCCAGGAGGATTTTTTGGAGGAGAAGAACAGGCGGTAGCAGCAGTGGTGGTATCAGCAGCGGTGGTGTTTGTGGTATCGTCATCGGCGGCGGCAGTGCTAGTAGGACGACGACTTTGCGGTGGTCACAACAGCATGCAGTGTAGAATTCGCGAGAGATATCAATCGGGTGATGCCCCTGAGCAGCGAGGAAGCCCTCCAGATCGTGACTTTGGTGCTGCTGGTTTGTCTCTCCGGATTGGGGGTTGCATGTATAGCCTACGTATTCAGCTTTCGACGCAAGATCATCCATGGTCGAGGCTTCAACGTTCGTCATCTCCGGGAGTTCAACTCCCCGTGGCTGCTGAGAGTTTTGCTGAGCAGCCTGGGAGCGCTGTGGCTGCTGCTGGAGCTACTGAGACTCCCGATTCTCCGGAACCGAGGCTGGGCTTTCCATGGCCTCGATTTTCAAGAACAAGCCAACGTCTGCCGGAGCTACGTGCTTTTGACGCTGGGATTTGCAGAGCCTGGCTTCTTCCTAGCAGCGCTCTTCCTCATCCGCCAGTCGCTCCGCAGTGATCCTTTCAGCTTCATGGGGCGACGAAGGTGGCGGCACCGCTCCGTGGTCTTCATCGCTCTCCTGGCTTTGCCAGCGGTTCTGGTCCAGCTCTTCCTGGTGTTCATCGTCCCGGCGATCGAGTACTCGAGCTTTCCAAGCTTTGCGGAGCAGGACGAAGGATTCCGAGGCGCCATTCCAAAGTCGTTCACCATGGCGTTCGTGAACGAGACGAGAACAAGGACTACAAGCAGCAGCGGCGGCGATGGTGGCGGTTCCACGACGACGATCACGACGACGAGATTCGTGGCGGCTTGCCGGGTTCCACTCCTCAGCACGGTGGCGACGAGCATCTTCAGCGTGTGCTACGTCGCGTATTTCTTGTTCCTGGGCTGGAAGATGGTGCTGCTCGTCATCAACAGGAGGCTCCAGATCCGTGTCTATGGCCTCCTGACGGTGGTGATGGTGCTCGTCCCTCTCCACGTCCTGCTGCTCGGCCTCTCGTCCTCGGCGCTGGCGGAGCACCGGAGTGGCAAGCACGAAGTGGTGGCGTTCTTGCGCTTCCTGGTCACGGCGTGCTGCGTGAGCGTGGGCGAGTGGATGCTGGTGGTCCGGCCGATCAAAGACGCCATCGGCGTGCTCGAGGCGGCGCTGCGGCGGGGCGGATCGATGAAGGTGGTCGGGCGGCTCAATTCGTGGGGGGCGATCCCGGTGGATCAGCTCTCGCTCAGCGTGGACGAGGACAATCGATCGCTCATCACGGAGATCTCGGTGGAGCTTACGCCGCTGGGGATGGCGGGGGCGGCGGTGGCGCCGCCGAAGAACGAAGACGACGAAGACGAAGAAGCAGCAAGCTAGCGAATTGCCTGCTTTTTTCAAACCCAGCAAAAGATGCGGGAGCATATTCTGTCCAATAAGATTCCAAAATATTCGTGTTATTTAAAAACACTTTGGTCGTGTGATCGAATCGTGTCCAGCGCAGGGCGGTTGTTTTGGCTCCAATCATTTGAGGCATGTTTTGCCTCATGATCGTGTCCGCGAATCCACACTGCAGGGATTTTGGAATTGGAGGCTACTGCGATTAAAAAAGAGGAGGAAGAGATTTTCGACGCTGTGAGTGAGTGGAAGCTCCAGCCAGCGCGATCCACCAAGTACACGATCATATCCACCAAGACTAAACAAAAAAAGAAGAAATCGAAGCTCTTGCATCTAGCTAGCAGCTCTCGGCTATGGCGTCCAGTGCGATCTTTCCCCTTTTCCATTCTCTTTTGCTCCTTCTTTTGTGTGAAAGGAATATGGCTGTTTGAGCGAATCTTGCCATTCCCAGCTGAGGGGAAGACCTCTGTTTTTGGGGGCGAATCTTTCTCCCCCATTCCTCGATTTTTGGTGCCAGGCTCTCTCGCTTTTGTTGCGTAGCAAACGTTCCAAGTTTTTGGAAAATCTGGAGAAGCGCCCAGTGAAAAGACGAGAAATGGAAGGATTGAGTGAAGAGCTACGCAGTAACCGAGAGAAGAGCTCTGGCAGCTGCTTCGATCCGGGCGGATCGGCCCGAATCGCGCTCTTGGGTCGCGTCGGATCGGCGTCGCCCCACATTGGGTCCCCGAGAATCGATCCAAAATCCTAGCTTGAGCGCTAGTCCGAGGAGCCCACTTCGCCGATTTGATCGATCTTATGAGGTATAGGCTAGGCCATTGTTCTTAGTTCTTTCTTTCTGCCCTTTTTCTTTCCCTCCCTACTTTGTGGCTCGATATCGAGCGACCTCTTTCGTGCTACTGGATCGATCCTCCTCACAGTGTACTTGTCACAAAACCACTTCCTCTCTTTCTTCTTTTTCGTTGTTTTTCGCCTGGCCTTGCCTACATTGTCTCCTCCTTCCACCATCTTCTCTCTTCGAAAACGATCACGCTTCCAAGAGACATCGATTTGGACAGGAAGATTCGGAGCCAGGAATTCGATCGAAAGGAGCAAAGTGTGGCTATGGAGGAGGATTCTCCGTGAAAGGTGGCTACTCGACGCAGAGAGCTTTCGCGATCCACTGAAAGGTATGGCTTTTCTCCGGAGACGTCTGGAAGGATGGAAGCGAGGAGTGAAAACGCTGTTCTTCATGACAAGCATGGTCGGATCGCTGGTGCTACATTCCTCCACTCCACTGCTGCTGGCGCTGCTCGACGTGGGGATCCCGTGCGTGATCCTCTCCACGCTCGACTTGGAGAAGCGATCATCCTTTGGATCCTACGATTTTCGCTCGTCGCTCCTCGACATTTTGATCGTTTCCATTGCCAGATCCTTCGCTATAATCTGTGAGTCTTCCACCTTTCTCTCGGTCCCTTTCGTTGTTGGTTTCTAGTTTTTTGTCCGTGTCGCGTGTTTTAACTCGCACTTCTTTGTTCTTCGACCGTGCTTGTCTAGTAAAGTTGGCGATTTTTTTCATCCAAGTGTTCTTAGCGTTTGCGTTTGTCCGAGTGTCTGTTCTTCCGACTTTTGCGTGGGATTTCGTGCTCTTGTCAACTTCTCGCGTGGATCATCTCCATCTCTGGAACTTCTTTCTTTGGCGAGAGCTTTGTATATAAATTCTCGCTTTTCTCGGCCGTGTTTGTGTCAGTGGCGTCCTTGTGTCCTTACAATTTGTGCTCCTCGTCTTGTCAGTCAGTCCTCTCTTTCGTGTTCTTCATGTCGATTATCGCTAACAAATCATTCCCTTGGTGTTCTTCCTCCGCCAGCCGCGTACGCTCTTGGAGGAGTGCGATGCGAGGCTTACTTCATGATCGCCGCGCTGCTGGGACTGAGCTCGGCAGCGCTTGTGGCTGTCAAGGCGTGCCTCTTTTTCGCCGTGTTCTCATCATCGTCTTCCACACCAAGAAGAACACCACCAGCAGGATCACTCTGGAGCAGCACTACTAGCAGCGCTAGATTTGGAGTGGTGATGCTCTTCGCTTCATCATTCGCGTGTGCCTTGGGGCATGGAGTTTCAGCATACAGGACAAGCTGCCAGGCAAAGAAAAAATCATTTCCCCAGGGAGATGAAGAATCTGTAAGTTTTCTGTTGATCACATCTTCCTCTTTTTCCAGCTTTTCTCTAAGTTCTCTTCTCCATGATCTAAAGTTCTTTCCTTGATCCTGGCAGAATTTCTTTTGTAAATATATCGTCAAGCTCAGGCGCGGCAAGCGCTTTCGATCCACGGCGATCTTCCACAAGCTCGGGAAGAGCGACGAGGATGACGAGCAATCGCCGCTGCTCGTTAACAGCAAGTTCATGCTCTGCAAAGGCTTGCACTTGCACTTCAGACTTTGCGAGGGATGGCCGAGAGACCAGAGAAGTTTTCGATCGAAATCGCTGTCGAGGAGTGCAAGCTTACCATTTCCAGGATCAAAGCCACTGTTTCTAAGCTCTTCGTTGAGCCTGCCGTCCAAAGTTTCTGGATGGTGTGATCGAGGAGGAGAAGAACATATTGTGGACATTGATCCGGGAGATTCGAGCTCCAAAGGAATAGTTTTGGTGCATGGTTTTGGAGGTGGTGTCTTCTCTTGGAGGCATGTAATGGCTCCGCTAGCTCGACAAACCGGCCACAGTGTTGCTGCGTTTGATCGGCCTGGCTGGGGACTGACGAGCCGGCCGGGCAAAAATGGTGGCCGTGACAAAGATGGTCTTCCCAATCCTTACGAGCTCCAGTCACAAGTGAGTGTTCTATTCATCGTCGTCTAGGAAAAAAAAAGAGTTTTTCCTGTTGTTCTTGCTTGTTTGATTTCTCTGATGAGAGCTCGCAGGTGGATTTGCTGCTGAGCTTTTGCCAGAAACTAAAATTCTCATCGGTCGTGCTCGTTGGTCACGACGACGGTGGATTGCTCGCTCTTATGGCAGCTGCCAAGATCTTGAAATCTCCAAGCTCAACGCAGGTAAGCTCCAAGCCACTATAGTTGGATCATCTCATGGATTTTCATTTCTGCGATGAAGGTGGTGATCAAAGGTGTGGTTTTGATCGCGGTGAGCTCCTCCAGAGAGGTGATATCGCCATTTGCTCGAGTTTTGCTCCACACTTCTTTGGGACGGCACATACTCCGGCCATTGCTGTGCTCGGAGATGGCGAGTCGCCATGCCTGGCACGATGCTTCCAAGCTCACCTCAGAAGTGATGGAACTTTACAAGGTATGAGGAAAAATTCGAACTTGATCAAAAGATTTCCATGATTTTCCGTGTATACATCGATCCAGGTACCACTCCGTGTCGATGGATGGGATCGCCAAGCACTGGAATCGCAAAAGTTCTCATCCAGCAGCGAGCAAGTCACTCCCGAGCTCCTTCTTGCCGTGCAAAACCTCCCGGCTTTGCTGGTGGCCGGGATGCAAGACATGCTCGTCCCTCTCCAAGCCGTCCAAGATCTCGCGTCCCGGCTCTCCAAATCGGTAAGCATCAATCAATTTCTCTGCCTTTCCTCCACTTATCAATCGATCGATCGTCGCCCATCTAGAAATTCATCGCGCTTCCTCGCTGTGGCCACCTCCCGCCGGAAGAATGCCCTGGAGCTCTGCTCGCGGGGCTGGTCCCCTTCATCGCGGAGCATCTCGGCCGTCCATCCGTGTAATTTAAAATTTTAAAAAGCTTGAATTTCCCGCCCTATTCTAGGCTTTAAAAGATTCTCTAGTTAGTTCGATTTTAATCCCGGGTAGGTGGGGGCCAGAAAATAGAAACGTGACCCATTGCTCACCAAATCGCAAATATCTGCCAGATCTTTTTACGATGGATCGAGATTCTCTTACTTAAACAACCGCGGAGTACGTGGGCCAATGGAATGCGCCGTGGGAAATCACATGTCCGGCCGACCAAAAGATAATGGATCAGGGAGATCTGGGCTATGGCGGATTAGGGTTAGGGTTAGGGCAGGCAGGGGCGCGCGCGATGGCAGCAGCAGTGAAGGAGAACGATCGCGTCGAGGAGTGGGAGGAGGGCCTGCCGACGCCGGAGGAGCTGACGCCCTTGAATCAGAGCTTGATCACGCCGGAGCTGGCCAGCGCATTTAGCATCTCGCAGGAGGCGGCCAAATCCTCGTCGGACGTGCTGCACGCCTCGATCGCCACGGTCACGGCGCTGCGGCGCCAGCCATCGTCGTCGCCCGGGGGCGTGTTCGAGTCGATCCCCGCGTTTCCAGTCGCGGCGGAGGAGGAGATTGACAAGAATGCCGCGGCGGGGAACGGGATTGGGGGTTTCGCGGACGCTGGCGCTGGCGCGGGAGCTGGAGCTGGGGCGGCCGCGAATTCCTCGCTCCAGCCGGGGCAAGCGGGGAATTCTTTCCAGTTTCAAGGTACGCAGGGCTTTGATCCGGCCAGGAGAGGTGAGGTTGGCGTCGCCAGCGCGCCGATGATGAGCAATCTCCCCTACAGCCCCTACGAGCGGCGGCCAGAGACGAGCTCTGGTGGTGGAATGGGGGCCGAGGACAGCAGCAACACCGCCAAGAAATTGAGGAAGCAATCGTCGGATCTGGGCGAGGAGGAGGAGGCCGACTCTGGCGGGGGTCCCGAGAACTCCGGCGAGGAGCCGGCCGCTAGAACGCTCAAGAGGCCGAGGCTGGTTTGGACTCCACAGCTCCACAAGCGATTCGTGGACGCGGTGGCGCACCTGGGGATCAAGAACGCGGTGCCAAAGACGATCATGCAGCTGATGAACGTGGAGGGTCTCACGCGAGAGAACGTCGCCAGCCATCTCCAGAAGTACCGTCTCTATCTCAAGCGGATGCAGGGGCTCTCGAGCGAGGGGCCGTCGGCCTCGGATCATCTCTTTGCCTCCACGCCGGTTCCTCCGGGCCTCGCCGCCGCCGCTGCACACTTCATCCCTGGCCATCGCGACGACGTCGTAGCTCTTCCATTCTCGCCGGTGGTGCCTGTGCCGATTGCCGGGCTTGGAGCTCCTCACGTCGGTGCCGCGTTTGGTCCCCGGCCCCCTTACTCGGGCTTCGAGCACCATCCTTACGGGACTTTGGGGAGGTCTGTGCCTCAGAGGATGGGTGGCGGTCCGGGGGATCACAGGGAGATGGTGATGGAGAATCAAGGACAGCCCGGCTCGTCGCCTCCCAGGCGAATTTTGACTCTCTTTCCAACCAGCAGCCATTGACACACACATACACATACACAAAGAACACACTACACAGTTCGCGCTCGCTACGTCGTCTTGTACATTCGTTTTGGAGATTGTTTTCCGGGGTGACCGACTATATCTTCTGCTCGAGACCGCGTTTGTCGCTGTATGGTTTCCAGGGAGCAGCAAGAGAATCAAGCGAGCGATCCAGCCAGCCGCGAAGTGTATAGGGAGAGCGCTGCTCCACACAGCCAGCAACGATTACAGTGCACACTACAGTGGCGATTCGACAAAGGTGGGAGAAGAAGATGAAGAAAAAGAGGAAGGAAGATGGAACAGGGAGGATAGAATTGACCCGATCTTTTGGCTTTGTCACGGCCCGAGTACCAAAAAGTTTGGTTTTTCATTCCAAGGTACAGGATACAACAGCTATGTGTGGACCCATGACAGCTAAAGCTTGATTTTTTTTGGTCCAGGGAGCTGTACAAGACTATTCAATATAGAATGTTCGCAGCAGCACGACAATGCATAGGTGTAATATTGTAAGAGTTTTTTGGAACAAGCCAGCTCCTGTCGCGAGCTTTTGGAATGGGTGACTTGGTTGATTCTCGAAGTACAAACGGGGAAGGGTGGAAAGCTTTCGCGTTTTCTAGATGGAAATGCTGTTTGGGACTCCTCTTCCAGTGAGGCCGGGCTTGGAGTTGATACACAGCAGCGTGTAGCCATCGACAGCTCCGTGCCGGTTCTTGAGGCTCGGGTTCTTGTTGTTGGCCATCACCTGGTGCTCCACCTCTCGCATGGCGGCCGTGAAGTTGCTAAAGGCGGCGAGGACTCGAGCGTCCCCGGTCCAGTTCTCGCTCTTGCGCTCGCCCAGGTACTCCTCGTCTGCCGTGTGAGTTGACAGGATCTCTATCGTTGTCATCACAGTTGTAGCTTCCACTCTGGACGAGATTGCTGACAGATAAAACTTCTCGGGGTTTTGCAGGAACTCGTCGTGCTCCTTGGTGCCGGGCTCCGGGACGAAGCGGTGCGCGATGGTCGGGCGGTTTGCCGGGTAGCCGGCGTAAGCGTACTGTCCGAAGTTGACGGCGGCGTGGTGTGCCGAGGCCAACCAGATCACCGTGGTAAGCAACTCTACCAGGTTTTTCTTGGAGTCGAGCTTGAGCCACCAGTCGGCGTCCTTCTTGTCTGCGTGACCGACGTAGCGGATCTCGTGCCACCAGCTCTGGAGCTCGGTGTCCGCCGCTACTGACGCTTCCTCCTTGTAGAAGATGTCCGTGTAGTCCGTCACCCAGTTTTTGATAGCGTCCCAGATGTTGAGGCCGTCGACCGCGTAGGGGTAGTCCTTGATGATAAGTTCCAGTCCGTGCTTTGCGTTTGGATCCGGAACAGCCATTTTCCTGATCATAGCAGTTTTTAGTTAGAACAAAACTCGATCTTTATTGGTTTTTTCCTGCTTTGGTTACCTCTTGATCAAGTCCGCTGGGAGTCCTTCCTGGTCGAATCTCCATGAGAGTCCATAGACAACGGCGCTCATCTCCATGGAGTATCGTCCGGTTGTGAAGCAGTCCTCGATGATGCCCCCGGCGTTGATCAGTGCCTTGCGAGCTCTCGCGTTGATTGCCATTGTGTTCTTGTAATGTGGTTGAAGTAAGAGGAGGATCGGATGGAGAGCGCTGAGCTGCCTGTAAGTGGCTATGATGATTGGCTCCATGATAGCGTGAGTCTTCAGCCTGATCATGGAACGTGTTCTTTGTTTGTACAGGGAAAGAAAGAAAAACTTCAATGAAACTTACCAGTGACTGACGAGTTGATGGTATCCAGCGTCATTAACTGAGACGTGAGCTTTGGCAAGTTCCCAAAGCCAGTCCTTTTTGTTAGTTGGAGGGAGGAAAACTCGATTGCTCCTCTGGCCCTTCTCTCCTGGTGCTGGGAGGCTCAGCTCGATGGCGACAATCTTCAGAGTTCCCTCGTTCGAGAGGAAAAGTATGGTGCGTGTTCCGTATGTTCTTTTGTTCTTCTGAGCATTGATGATGTTTAAGTATGGCAGGAAAACATCGTGGTAGTCTACAATGAATAGCCTGTTCTTCTCAAGCGCCTGAAAGTTTTTTCACGTAAGTCTCTTTTGGTTTTCCTTGTCTAGAAGATGTACGTTACCTGTTCTACTGTGAGACCTTGAAGCTGGGTCTGAATGTGCTCGTTTGTCAATGCAGTGGCTTGTGCTCCAAATACAGCTGGATCCAAAGAACTTGTGGGAGGAAAAGTTTCGAGCTTCGTGATCAGCATGGGGTTCAATCCGGCGATAGTCTGTCTAGCGAACTCATCGTTGGACATCCATGTATCGTCATCACCTGGCACAAAAGATTTCCCTCAGCGACCGTCTCTACACAAACCTGTGAGCGAAAGACTAGAACCTTGTAAGATCTGTGGCAGTGGATACTTGAGCAGCCCCGCGTTGGCGTCGTCCGTGGTAGTCAGCTCGCTTATCAAGGTAAACGGACTTCGCACGTTCTTCTTGGCTTCTTCGTCGGTTAACGGGTTGACGCAGGTTCCCAAGTCGATACCTTCTTCGTACAGAGCCTTGATCTCGTCGAGGCTCTCGAAGCTGGCTGCCCGGTCAGCATAGAAGGTCTTGATTGCTGGGACAATTTTGTGAGCAAACGCTTTGATGGAGTCTCCCAAAACACTGGAACTCCTGATCTTGGCAGTTTTCTCGTCGGGTGGAAGATACATGTCGTCGGATGACCAGCTCTCGGATAAGCTATCTAAAATACGGAGAAGAATAGAGCAGGTCAGTATGCTGCTGCTGCTAAATCTAAACTCCTTACCAGTTCTTGCAGGCTTGCGTCCAGTCCGAATCCTTCGAGGATACTGAAGCTTCGCACCTCCCAAGACTGGTCTTTTGAGTTCCGGCTTGGCATCAGGATTTCCAAGATCGTTGTAGACATCATAGTCGTAAATCCTGTCGCCTGGGACCCGCGTGCCTTCTCCAGTTCCGCGAATGCACTTGAGCTCGTTTTCGCGGATGGTCTTCAGTCCCGCGGGTGTAGAGTCAGGCAAGAACACCTGCAAGAGGTAAAGTTGGATTAGAATTCTCGCTCGACTGCTGCTAATGCAAAATCCGATTTTGAACAGATCTGTACCTGGTTCCTGAAGAACACACGGGGGCTGCTGTACTTGGAGGTGTTGTGCACCCACGACTCGCAGGGAAAGTGGATCTTAGAGCCGTCCGGGGCGCTCAGTGTCAAGGACTTGAGGAAGAACTGGTTGGGATGGTGGTTCCGGATGAGAAACGCCCCGGGAGTGCCAAAGTCACTGTCCACCGAGAACTGGATCTCATACTTGACATCTCCAGCAGACAGACCGTCGAACGACAGAAACCATCCGCTAATTGCGACCTCGGGGCTCGTCTTCCCGCTTCCAGTGGCTGCAAAAGCAAGAGATTTCGTTCAGAGTTTCGAGGCTTCCCTGCTGCGGCTGCTGCTTACCAGGATCGACGAGCTCGCTTATCAGCTGGAGTTTGACTTTGTTTCCAAACAAGTCGTTGGCGTCGTCCCAGAGATCCGCGCCAACGTCCGTGAGATCCAAGACGTGCTTCTTCTGGAGGAGGATGAGGCCTTTGAGCAGGACTTGGGTGGGAGCCATGGATTGCGTTTGGGAGACAGGTGGGGATTGTGAAAACGAGCGATTGAAGAGAAGTACTTTCGCACGGTGTACGTTGCTTATAAGGAGCCAGAGGGAAGCGTATGTAGTGGAGAATTGGAGCGTTTTTCTCGTGGTCACGGGTCGGGAACTTTCTCATCTCATCCTCTCTTCTTTTTTTTAGGTGCGTTTTCCGTCTTTATTTTACGCTCGTTTATCACAAGCTCTCATCTTTTTGGACTTTTTGTGTGAAGACACAAGGTGACGATAAGACTCTATCGTGGCATATGACGGTCAGCTGTAGTTTATGGAAACCAAAGCAGAAGTTTAATTTTTCTTCTTGCCAAGTCTGGGCTAGTCCCGTGTTGAATTTTTCATTGTGAAAGTGCCAAAAAACTGCTGACATTGTCAACAGTGCTCATGCCAGCTGGATGTGAGTGCGTGAAGTGAAAGAGTTGATCTCACGGATGAGAATATCATAGGAACAGCTAGCATAGTAACATGTCGATTAAGATTGACAGAGGGATCATGAATCTCTGAGTTTCTGATCAGCTCGAGAATCTTCTCAGATTTGTTAATAGGTCTGATTTGGTTAACGAGTTATGAATCTTAGTTTATAAACATTTTTAAAATTTATAAACTTCTCTTAGTATATTCTACCTTATTCTCCCATCTTGTTTATGATGAAAATATTCTTAAATACAATGGAAAGGTCATGTTCATTTAGTTTGGTTTATATTACATTTCATTAGCAGCCACTTTACTTAGCAAAAACACTTATAATATATTAATTATAATAATTGTTATAATAAAAAATTAATTAAATAAAATTATTTGCAACAATTTATTTTAATTACACTTATATAAATTTCTTTAATTTCAGTATATTTTTATAGATTTAACAGACACTTTCATTTATAGTGTATAGGATTTTGTTTCTTACATAGTTTAATTTTCTATGGAATTTGCAAACATATCAATTATTGGACATTCAAAAACTGAATGAAATCCTAAAAAAATATTCAGCTATAAAATATAAAAATAAATAGATAATTCTGCCTTTATATACTTTATATAGATATATTATACCTGTTAATATTTTCTTAATCACATATTTATATACCATATCCTTGTATTTAAATTAATTCTATTAAAATTAGATTTTCTACCAAGTCCTAAACAAATCACTTAAAACTATTTATATTTAAACTTATATACTTAAATTTTGAAAGCATTATTGATTTTCTTTATAGTAGAGTATTAAAATAATTTCTACTCTTTAATTAGACTATTATAAAATTTATAAATTAGAAACTGATTTAGCGTTTATAAACACTTGGCCCACACAAGATTAAATTAATATAATGTTAACCATTAGATACATAAATACTAGCAAAATAGAAATAATAAATAAAGATGCTTTAGTGGGATAGAAAATGTTAAAATAAAAATAAATATGAAGCTTACACACACATAATAAACACATGAATAGAAGAGCTATATTAAGGCTGCATTGTGTTCTTTCTAGTTAAGAAATCCACATACATTTGACCTAATAAGAAAATGTATTTTATCCTGGGTTTATAATACTTTATATTTTATTTCTATATTAATACAGGTTTTTTTCAAGAATATAAGCTCTCTGGTGAGTGGAAAGAGTTTTCATAGCCTCCGTCGTGTTGCCGTCGACCTCCATCAGGAACGGCGGAATTCTAGCTCGTGAGGCTCCAGATCTTTCGTGGGCTCTCCAATATCAAAATTGCGTCGCACGCCTTGTTGGCGCTTGGAGGCAAAAAACCTAACAATATTTTGATTTAGATGGCATCGAAAGCTGGCAGGAGATGCAGAAGAGCCTGTGCGGGGTGGCCGAGCAGCAGCTGTGCAGCGAGCGCTCTCTCACTCCTGTGCGCCTGCCCTCGGACTTCCTAGAGGAGACCGCTTCTGTGACGCTGCCGCCTTTGTCACAAGTCTAGCGCCCGGCAGCCGTGGATGCATCAGGGGGCTACCCGGCTGTGGCAAAACTTTCTTGCTCGCCACACTCGCTGCTTTTCTCACGACGCAAAACCGATGGAAGGTAAGTCGATAGCTACTAGGGCCTGTTCTGACGAACAACTCCCCAGGCGGTGTATCTCTGCGGACCCTTCTTCACATGCATGCCCTTGGTTGTCCTCCAGTCCAACTTGGCCGTGGTTTTTGGTGGCGAAGCGGCCGTCGTGAACGAGATCATGGCCCTCAAGTCCCGCGATCGTCTAGTACAGTGGATCAAGAACCGCCCAGAGAAGCTCTGCTTCATGCTCGACGAGGACACTCGACGAGGACACTATCCCCGACAGGACAGCGGAGGATAAGAGGGCTGCTATGGATCTCCTGAAAGACGTAACAGAGGGAAGGGTCCTTGTTTTCTGTGCTCGCGCTGGTGCCTCTCCCGACTGTGGTGCTGCAAATGCCTTCTTTGACATGCCAGAAACCTTCGATGGCGAGGAGGTCAACTGGTTTGCGCGGCACGCCGGTTAGCCGCCGGTGGGCGACACTGTCCGGCACCTCACCGGGTTCTCGCCGCTGCTCCTGAAGTTCTACTACAGTGGTGATCTCCCTCTTGTGCTTACCTATTATGCCGATGGGGTTGACGATGCCCTTGGCAAGCTCGAGAAAGGCCCGGCCAGTGCATGGAGGCCGGCATTGGAGGCTTTGGCAGGCTTTGAGCTTGAAAGCGGTGAATCCCAGTTGAACGAGCTCTTGAATGGACACTTTTTATACAAGAACAAAGATGGCTGCAATCATACCTTGAGGAGGAGTGAAAGAATAAAATTACAGAAATTAAAAGGCAAAGAGCTACACTAAATCTGTCTTGGGCATGATGAATATGTATGTTTTGGTTACAGTCCTATTGTGAGATGAAACACATGAACTTTGATGAATTTACCAAAAAACGATTGATAGTCACTTAGGAGAAGCACTACTTGATTTTAAGAGGGCGAGTGCAAAACGGTATGTCCATCCCAAGGACAAGTGACTTCAATGCCTACCATATGGATGGAGGGGGCTACAGAGGATGACAACTGGGAAACACCTAGGTCTTTAGAAATGAGACATCAAGTCTCACTCCCCCAACATTGTGTGGTCAAGGAATTCTTTATTCCTGTTGCTAATCTATGCTATAGTCTCATGATTTGCGTGCAAGTGCCCTCCCAATGGTTGTGACTGTATGTGACCATCCACCATATGACAGTTTTTCAAAGGATCTACAGAGGGATTTCTAGCTGAAATCTCGAAGAATTTCGAGGAGAGGAATGCATTTTTCTTACCGTTGTTGCCAGAGATCCAACCAATTGGAGCTGAATTATCTAGCAAAGGTAATTTATATTAGTGTGGCTAATCTAGATGGCCACCCTAAATGTCCGTAAGGATACCTCTCTTTTGCTATATTTGGGATTCTCTTATTGGTGGTACCTTTTCGTCACTAACATGATTTTTTATTTGGTGTATTCTTTTTCCTTGCATGTTGATGTAGCTTGCTCAAGATCAGGTTGGCATGAACACTTGCTATAATGTTGGCTAAAGCTCAAGTGTATGATCAATATAATATTTGATCCGTGAGAACCTCTCCCATGTTTTGCTTTGGTTTGTCAATCTTGCAGTTCTGTCCCAAAGGTACCACTCAGCTTAGTGTTTAATGGTCTTTCAAGAGATTTTTTGCCATAATAGACGAAGTATCAAAGAGACATTGTTTGTAGGGACAGTCAGATAGCCAATTTGGAGTTTGCATAAGAACTTGTTGGCACATATGGATTTTAATATGTTTAAACCCCTCAAATAGGAGTAATTCTATCATGTGTGTGGTCTTATTAGAACTTTTGTTTATGGATGTCACCCCACATTGTCATTGCCTATAGTTTAAAGGGTAATATTGAAGATGACACTTATGGTTGTGATTGTTGTGCTTAAAAAATCAAGAGGAAATGTGTGAGAAAGAACAAAAGGCATATTAGTAATCTAAAGATATCTCTTTTTTGCCCTTAGGGTTCTCTCAATTTATGAAGGATATATTTGATATTTTTTCATTATTTTATCCATAAAAAAGAGAAAGTTCTAGTTAAAAATTTTATATAATGCAAAATATATTATTATGGTTTTCTTTTTTAAACTTATGAGTTCATAGAATATATACATAATTCTAAGTCCCTTCCACTGAGCAAAGAGCTGTTTAGACACTACATATTGTCAGATTGGAAAAACAAACCAACACCAAATCATCCACTGTGTATATTGTAAATGAATGATGTTAAGAGTTATAACCTTGCCCCATATGTATGTAGTCTAAACTCTATTTAGACTAATGAAAGAATGTTTGTCAAATATTGATCATGAGATTTAGCATTAATACCATATAATGTTTACAAAGGCAAACTAAACTCACTTGGCAATATGTGGTGAAATAAAACTTTACACCCTTATGATATATATACCAAAAAGATGGCAGATAACTATCCTAATTCATATGTTGAAAGTTTAAATACTTTGCAATTGTTTTCTTGCAAGTCCTAATAAGTCTTAACACTAAATTATCCATCTGTGGATGATAAACATTTGCAAAATTATGCAATACCCTTAATCAAGATGTCAATATATGGAATGCATCAGCCATAAATGTAGGACTATTGTTTAAGAGGATCCACTCTAAACAAAAATGTTGAAACATCACTTAATTAAAGAGGAAGTATCTAATAACCATCATAAATGGATTAATAAGTGCACCAACTTCTACCTAATAAGTCAGGTAATCAAAAACAATGATGACATATTAATTTCTAACAACTGACTATATGAATTGATATTAAAAATATAAATGCTAGAATGGTAAGTTATGGACAAGTGATATAAACTATCACAAAGCCTTCAAATCCATATAACTCAACATTTTGAGTTTCATGAACCTCTTCCAAGGAAGACAAAGTATAAAATCTTCATCCAAAAAATTCACTCATGCTAGAACAATAAACTCCTTAAGAAAAAGAGAAAAGAAAAGAGGGAGATGAGCTTAAGAAATAGCATTAGCATCAATTATAGAACTTCTAAGATAATGAATAATTTTGAAGTTATGAATTTGAAGTTTCAATGCCTATTATGTAGTACAGCCAACTAAGTTTTTTCACTTGAGCAACAAAGTGATTGCAACATGATCACCCTTTAATAGCATTTAAGAACCATATAAATATATTTAAAGCTTTTTAAAACCCCACACCACTACTAAACACTCTTTTGTCGTAGAGTAGTTCATCTTAGTTAGTTACAAAATATAAATGATGTATACAATCAAATGACACTAGCTAAGAACACTAATTCTCTCCTATAACAACACTCCACCAAAATTGATATTTATTGCATCTATGTGTCCAGAAATGATGTACCCTAAATGACAGG